GGGGGGGGGGGAGGGGTGGTGTCGCAGGAACGTGCCGACAATGAACGGGAGTCGCGAAAATGATCGCTGAGCGAAATTCCCATTCATCTAGTACTGCTGTACGCCGGAGAACAAGAAAAGCAACACAACAAATAGAAGAACAACGCACGAAACGGGTTCCAACAGAAACTTATGGCACGGTTGTTTTTGTGCCTTGCGTGCGTGTCTTTTTCGTCTTCGCATAAACTCATCTCATAAAACCAAAAATAAAAGGAACTCTACCGTGGATCGTGAGGGCACACGCAAGCCCGGCACTCTCCTGGCATGGGCACAAGGACTCACTCCGATGCAGCAACCCTTCAAGCATCAACCAAACGTGGATCGATACCGACTTTCATGTGCGCACTTCTGCAAGGCAAGGCGGACCTCTTTGCATGCAAGGGAAAACCCGAAGCCAACGCTGAAAGAGCACCTCTACACGGTTCGTCCCGACTACATGTAGGTCCTTGACGCGCGGCGCTTTCGAGCACCTGCTACAAAACGCACTTTGCACATCACCGGGGGGACGACAGACAGCAAAAAATATTCTTCTACCCACCATGCGTCGCTGCGTTCGAATCGACCGCTACCTCACTCTCACCATAACCTCGTTGTCACCTCCCTCTTGTCCTGCCTCCGCGTGCAGGACGACAGTATCCTTTGCCCACGAATCGGAAACGTACTCAACAAGCTTTTCCCAGTGATTGCCGGCCAAGGAAAAACGGAGGGCAAACAACCAGACGACGACGACGACGTAATTCAGCGACTCCAGCAAGGGGGGCAACAGTTGGCACAGTGCAGACGATACGTCGGCATGTACAAAAGAAGGGTGGGCGGCTGGAGACACTCGTACATGTCAGGCGGCCCACAAAAGCGCATGCGTGAGTCGGGCGGGCCGCAAAAGCAGAGGCTAGGCAGGGCCGTGCTGCCCCAATAACCACTTTTTCTCAGAACAAAACGGCGCCCCCACTCGCGCGATACGCTCGCCAAGGCATGGGTATGCAGCCAATCTGCTTTTCCCGCCAAGTTGTTAACAAAACGAAAATCATCATATTCATATCAAGACTGGTACCTCCGGGGGGGTGATGCACTCAGCGTCCACGGAGCGAATGGCGAGCGCGCGCAGCTTGGACAGGGGGCACAGCAGTTCCTCCCCCTGGCTGCACCCGGGGATGGTGATCGCCACGCGGCCGGGAGGGTTGGACGGGGTTAAGTCGGTCAACTCGCGGATCTGCCACACGCCACACGATTGCCGAGACAAAGAGAAAGAGGGAGAGAGAGAGAGGAGAGAAAGAGGAGAGACACAGACACAGAGACACAGCGCGAGAGAGAGAGATGGACAGATAGACAGGGGTGGGAGAGGACGGGGGATTGGGAGAGGGACAGCCAGAGGAACAAAACGGCGTCAGAGAACAAAACAACGCCGAAAGGGAGGGACGTCGAAATGGGCGCCGCAACCCCCCCCCCC